CTGGTACCTTGAATGCAAATAATTGGCAATGGGAAAGCTTGGGCTACAACATCAAGACTTTTTGGGCATATTCTTCTGTTTTCAATGAATTTTACTTTATTTGGCTCCCCTGAACAATTTAAAAATCCAAAAAAACGCCATCTTAAAAAAATTATAATTCCAACAGTTTTCAAGCTACGGAAATGAGAGACATGCCATTCGATTTGTAAAAACAATACCTAGCGACTCTAGAAGCCTTTTTTTAATATGTGCTATGGTTTAACTTATATATGGGAGGGGGTCGAGGAAGGTGGGGCGGTAAATATGTGAAAAAATGGGAAGAACGCGAAAAAACGATGAGGAAAATCAAAAATCGGGGTTCTACAGTCGCTAGATATTATTGTTACAAATCGAATGATATGTGTCTCGACATTGTAGCATGTGATTTGCAAAAGTTATAAACTTTTTAGAGTACCCCTTATTTGCCGTTTTCTATTAATTCCACGTTTTCTTTCCTTTTTTTAATTTACATGAACAAAAAGGTCTTATATTTCTGTTTTACATATGTGTACCAAGTTTCAAAACGATCCGTCTGCAAACAAAAAACTTTTGTTGGAGGGTAGCCGGTCCCCTTGAGTAAAATCTAAAGGCTTTATCTATAAATGTAGCGGTAGCGCTGTAGCGGCAAAACCTTGTATCGCTACCTAAATATGCAGCGGGCGCTACCGCTACCGCTACATTGCCTTAAATGTAGAGCCGCTACCGCTACCGCTACATGTAGCGCGCTACTGCCCACCTCTGGGTGCCAAGTAGTTGTTTTTGATCCCGACCTCACATTAGGGGTGAATTTTGCACTGTGTTTGCAATAATATATTGAAGACCAGTCTTCTTGCAAACTCTCGCAACTCACATTGCTCATCTCTGGTCCAGTCCAGTTTCGGGGGGTGCGGTTCGTTGCTGCAACCGAAAATTTAATTAAATTTCGGAGACTGGATACCTCTGTAAAAATCCTAATTTTTCTTGTCAGTTAAAGGAAGGTGTGAAGGGACTATTCTAAGTAAACGCTTTTCTTCTTGGACTATTCAACAGGAAATTTCAAAGTGTTGACGGTGGCTGCGAACCTGACGCCGAGTACGAATAACAACTTCGACGTGACGTGGACTTCAAACGATGGTGGCTGCAACTACCCCGGCTTCATCGTCAGCTTCTCCGGCCAGGAAAAGTACGTCGAAGACACTCCACCGGGAACGGAAATATTGAACGTCCCAGGGTGCGGCACAAACGTTACCGTCTCCTTCGGTCTCCCCACCGGAGAAAAGTTCGGTACCACCGCCCAGACGGTTGCGACTACCAAGCCAGGTACCACAAATGATGGTAGACCTACTCAATATTCTACTTTCAAATACTGGAAATTGGTTACTATGTAACTGTGGTTCCGACAATGTTGCTCTGATTCGGACTAAGTAGTTTAGGTTCGGACTATGTAGCTTTGTTTGGACTATTTAGTTTGGGTTCAGACTATGTAGCTTTGATTTGGACTATGTAGTTTTGGGGAAGATTCATACTGGAATTAAACGAGGTGATTTTGTTCAACATGTGAACATAAAAATTAATTTTTTCATATAAAGTCACTAATTTTTCCATAATGTTTCCACCTGATTTGATTGAATTAGTATTCAACTCGTACGTACTCAGGAGTTCAAGCTCAGCAATATGAATGGGTCAAGTGATAGGATACTAATGTGTTTTGATACTTAATAATAATTGGACATAATATTGTCCGAATACTGACCCACTTTCTGTCCGTTGCAATGATACCCTGCGGGTCAGGATGACACATACAAGACCAATATTACCGCTAAGTTGTCTTCTATTAACGGGGACAGTAGTGGCGGCCAGTACAACACGGGGACAGTAGTGGCGGTCAGTACAACACGGGGACAGTAGTGGCGGCCAGTACAACACGGAGACAGTAGTGGCGGTCAGTACAACACGGGGACACTAGTGGCGGCCAGTACAACTTTCAAATGCTAACTGCGACCTCGTGTCATGGTTTCGACCATGGTTAATAACGGACGACCATGGTTAATAACGGACAACATGATTTCCGGCGTAATCGTTCCTGTTTGTCACAGTTACTGGAGCACCATCATCGTCTAGTGGCCCAGCCGGAAGAGGGAGCTGGCGTGGACGTGATATACCTGGACTTTGCTAAAGCTTTTGACAAAGTTAACCATGGGGTGCTCTTTGGAAAGCTGAGGCTGTTGGGGGTAGGAGGAAGCCTGTTGAGGTGAATCCACAACTTCATTACAGATAGAGTACAAGCTGTCGCAATTGGAAACTCGAAATCGATAGAAGCGAAGGTGAAAAGTGGAGTCCCGTAGGGCTCAGTGCTTGGACCGATCCTCTTCCTCACCCACATTGCCGACAAAGACTCGGAACTCACCCACGCATCTACATCATCATTCGCGGACGATACAAGAGTGCTGATGAAGATCACAGATGAGTCCGCACAGAGGTCGGGATGCCACATCGCTACTTGGCATCAGATGGCACAGAAATTGAGGAGAAGCAACTAGTTCGAGATCTTGGAGTGTTGATGAGTACTGAAGCCACGTTCGATGCCCATATCGAGGAAATAGTCGCGCGCAGCCCGCAACGGATGAGGTGGATATGGCGGACATTTCGAACGAGAGAAGCAGCACCAGTGATTACACTCTTCAGAGCCCTCGTGCTCCCCAATCTTGAGTATTGCTGCCAACTTTGGTCGCCACTCAAGGCGGGTGCGGTGCGAAAACTGGAGGCATTGCAGCGGACCTTAACGTACAGGATCAGCGGCATGAGGGAGCTGAACCTGAACTACTGGGGAAGGCTGAAACACCTGGAACTGTACTCACTGGAGAGAAGAGGAAGGTATATCATACTGTACACTTGGAAGATGATAAACGGACTGGCTCCCAACTTTGAAAGTGAGACCTCCAAAATAATGACATATTACAACGAAAGAAGGGGGAGACTGTGCAGGATTCCCCCATTTAATAAACGAGCCGCGGCCAGAGTACAGACTCTTCGTGAGGGATCACTGTCCGTGGTAGGACCGAGGCTATTTAATGCCTTGCCAAAAGCGCTGAGAGGAGGGGAGTTTACCCTTGCAACATTCATGAGACGACTGAAAAATTGGTTGAGAAAGATCCCGGATTGTCCTGTAATTGGAAACCACCCTCAGCAAGTGACAAGCAACTGCATCTTGCATCAGCTGGCAAAAGGAGGGCAAATATACGGAACACGTCCAACGTTACATCCGACGACGACTCGGAGACGGAGGACGACGAAGGCGGCGCATCAGCGTGACCGTGGACTACGACCTCCTAAACTCTTCACAAGGTCACAAGGTATACACGAGGCCAACAGCACGTTAAATAGTGGCGATTATTATTTGACAGTCATACTGGCCGCCACTACTGTCTCTGTGTGGTACTGGCCGCCACTACTGTCTCTGTGTGGTACTGGCCGCCACTGCTGTCTCTATGTTCAATCACTTTTAACTCGACCAGTTTGGTAGCCATTATAGCCATTAAGTTTCATTTGTGCAGTGGAAACTGTGCATGAATGCTGAATAGTGACTGATGGAAAGTCAAAGTCAGCGTTGGATTGAGTTTGGATATTATTAGTATAACCGACGGGTAATTTGAACCAAATTTGAAAATTTGGTGGAAGAGAAATTGTTGAACTATACAACTGTCCACACCCAGAGCTCGCGCGGCAGCGCTACTTTTAAATGTAGCGGCCGCTACCGCTACATGCTCTAAATGTAGCGGGCGCTACCGCTACCGCTACATGCTCTTAATGTAGCGGCCGCTACCGCTACATGCTCTAAATGTAGCGGGCGCTACCGCTACCGCTACTCCCACTAGATTGTAGCGAGCGCTACCGCTACAGTAAAATGTAGCGCTGCTACATTAGCTGCTACAATGGCCAAAATTGTTGGAAATCTCTAAATATTTATTGTTCTGCTATTGGGATTTACTCATAAACATTTAATGATAATAAAACATTTTTAAAACATATCAATGCAACTTTACTGCAATTAACCTAACCGAACTAGTACGGGTTAGATACAGTAAATAAAAGTTACAGTTATTTTTATGTTTTACCTTCCCTACATTGATGTCTACTTTAATCTACCAATCTCAAAAATTATCCACATATACATATGAAAAATCAGTATTTTATATATAAATATATATGGATTATTTTTAAGATTGGTAGATTAAACTAGACATCCATGTAGGAAAGGTGAAACATAAAAATAACTGTAAGCAAACTGGAACATGAAAAAATATCTGTAAGTGGTAACTGGTAACAACTTAACAAGTAACAACTAACATGTTGACACTAGTAACAGGCTGAGATTGACATTACACCGAAATCTTTCGTTCAGTTTTATTCTGTAATTTATATTATGCATGTATCATGCTGTTTTTAAAATAATATTTAATACTATTAAGTAAAATCTAAAGGCTTTATCTATAAATATAGCGGTAGCGCTGCAGCGGCAAAACCTCGTATCGCTACTTAAATATGTAGCGGGCGTTACCGCTACCGCTACATTGCCTTAAATGTACCGCCGCTACTGCTATCGCTACTGAAAATGGAGTGGCCGCTAGTAGCGGCCGCTACATGTAGCGCGCTACTGCCCACCTCTGTCCACACCCACTGTCCACACCCACTGTCCACACCCACTGTCCACACCCACTGTCCACACCCACTGTCCACACCCACTGCCCACAGCCACTGTCCACATCCATCCCCTTCTCTAACTCAGCAACCGTTAACCCTACAGGTTTCCCCTGGCTGCGGTAGCTTCATCATGTTCACCATTCAGTTTGTCATCGGTTACACGGACGAATCGCGCACTGGTCCGACTCTTGACTTCCCCATATCGGAACCAAAAAGCACCATCGTGATCGGTACAGCGGAGGTGCCTGATATTTGCCTGACTTCTTCGCTCTACATCGGGTACTCCCAGCCGATAGACGGCAAACCTAACACTGGTGACGAGTTCTTCCCATGTAAGAACCCTAAATTAGACCATTAGCATAGGTCCAACTAGAAATGGATGGCTGAAAAATTTAACTCTGGGTATTACCATACAACACACATCCGTTTACTGGTATAATACCAAGCATTTCATGTACAATATTAGGTACGATATATTTTATTGCAGTGTTGCAATAAAACGACTCTATATGCGCTATACGACCCACTCAAAAAGGATGCCATTCTTTCACAGTACCTCTCTACCAACTTGGAGATGATCGGAACCTGTACTCCTATCATGTGGGTGCGTCTGATGTCGTCTTCCACTGGCCAACTAACTTGACAGCTTACGACGTCTGTGGCGTCCTCCTCGGTACCACACTGACAATCACGGCCAAAAAAGATGGTGCCACATGGATGGTGCCAATATCAAATGGCACCACCACATTCCCCAACCTGGCTCATTCTCTACCAAGTTGGGTCTATCTGAGGATTGATAGCTTAAACATCACTCTGATAGACTTCTACGTAAGTTCAACAATTCTACAGGGAAACTCAGTTTCCTTGCACATAAATTAAGTAACAGCAAAGAATAGGGAGAAATGAAATATACAATGTAGTTAGATAGAGAGGTAGATCTAGAACAGGTTGATATAGGGCAGATAGGGCAGCCTTCTCTGAAGAACACATTCATTTTGGTCGTGTTGGGGGCTTAATGGAGGTTTTCTCTTGCCGACAAAAAGTGCCTATATGTGCCTTGTGTGCCTATTGATACCCTACTGTTATCATTCTACCTTCTTTCCAAAACGTTCAAACTTTCAAACCCTAGAAGTAACCAAGTTGTCCTCATGATTTTGCGATTCCTGGGAACACCTTAGTTGTTTCCATATTTTTCATATCACGAATGCCTGTGTTTATGGTTTTCCAATGCAATAGTACCTGAATATAAATGCACTCATTCGTTGTACAACAGTTTTGATGTCTCAAGTTTGTCATAGGCTGCATGTGAGTTGTTAAATTTTTCGGTTCGTTTACAGATGTACCCAATTGTTTAAGCGCTTCACTGCTGTCGTTCAAGAACGGTTCTCTGCAGGGGCTCATGAAGAACTGCGCCCTATGGAACCCTGCATGTCAAGCCATTTAGAGTTTCGAGTCAGGAGCTGTAAGCAGAAGTGAACCGGCCGGGTTGAATAAATGTATTGGTGAAGCAATGATGTTTTATTAACAATCATAGAGGGGATTAAAGGTAGACCATGTGTGGTTGGGTGCCATGCAAACACCTATGTGTTAATATGCTGCCACATAGCCGAAGCAGTGGTGGCACGTCCTGCCGATGCTCCACCAATAACCTGCCGAGTACAACTCTACCCTGGACGCCATTTTCCTACCAATATTTGTCGACATTTGTTCAACAACTGCGCAGTTATGTGCCATGGATGATAAATGCAATTATTGTGATTAAAAGGAAATTTTGAGAACCAAGCCCACGTAACTTAGTCTAGATTACTTCTTGATTCTGAAATATCCACTCAATCCTGGAAGTGTAGTAGTGACCTGAATGCGATGGCGTGGCCGAAACCGGAGGCGCATTCGTAGACGGCCTTAGATTTATCCATTAAATTAGCCCTGGAGCCAACGTCCAGCCTCACCATGTAATAACTACACTCAGTTTTAGAGCCAAAAAAGCAGACTACGAACACCGTAACCCAGATTTTAATGCACGGTTTAAAGCCAATATTTAGACCAATGTGCATTATCTTCAGCTTCAGCCAATATTTAAGCATGCTCGCTCATAAGCAGGCAGTTCTGCAGCCGGCCTTCTCCTACTCCGGCCTAGCCTCCTCTGGCCTAACCTACTCAAGTTTCCTTGCTTCTCCATTCTCTTACAACCAATGAGCGGCCTCGTCTGCTCACTTGCCCCTCCTCTGCCATACAGCAGCCAATGAGGTTAAGTAGGTCCCTTCATGTTGGTTTTAGAAGGAGTAACGTGAGTAGGTTAGACCGGAAGAAGTTAGGCCGGAGTAGGAGGAGGCTTGTTGCAAAACCGTACGCTTGTGAGCGAGCATGCTTAAGAGTTGCTGCGTACTACTACTCTATTGCTGCAAGCACTGAACTTCATAGGGTACTCTGCCCTCTACACGGAAAAAATATGAGAGATTTTGTCCGAAAGCGATGTCCTTCATACGCTAGTGTGATTGGAAAAGTGGTACGTGCAGAAATTGTCACTATTTGGACAACATGAATCACTCATATTGTGAGTGTAATAAGAAATTGAGTGTTGATTTGGGCTGGCCTCTAGCATTCACCTGAAACTGAAGCCGTAGCTTGGAACTGAAACCGTGGCTTAAAAATGAAGCCGCAGTCCGAAACTGAATCCGTGGCCTGAAACTGAAGTGGTGGCCTTAAACTGCAGCCTAAGTTCATGAGTTCAGACGAGGCCCAATATTCATGTACAAGAAACAGTACCTCATTTATAAATGTATATTACGGGGAGATCATAAGCTTTTCATGCATGATTATATTTAAATATCGTATATGCCAATTACCTGGCTGAACAAAACATATAACATTCCGAATAACTATCACACCTGCCTGGAGAAAATTTCGATAAAATATGCTATATGCCTGGGAAAAAATTATATATATGTAAGTATATAATTTTGTATGGATATATGTAAGTATCCACTGGTGGTGTGAGATCGCAATATCGTACAATAATTATTTATTTGAATCTGTATTTATCTTTGTTATTCTAAAATTTTCCAAGCTCATCTTTACTCTTCTTTATTTTTCATAACGTATTTTTCTCAATTGTTAGTTAGACTTAGGACCTGAACAAATGGTTCTTTGGAGAAAGACGTGTCTGTTGTTAGGTAGAATATTTCGATAGGAGTCAGTCAGTTAGTGGAAGCCGAATGGGGAAGTTATATGTACGTATTGTAATGTCTATCAGTTCACCGTATAAAATTACTGTCTCATGTTTTTATCCTCAAAAGGCAGTGCACTACCGAACTATACGATCACATAAGGCTTTTATAGAGTGGTAGCCACGAGTAGACTACGGCGGCATGTGCGCCACGATAGTAGTAAAACAATTGACATGAAATTTTGTTATATCTTGCAATTAGAAACTTCTCGCCCTATATATCCAATTAACTTTAATATCTGTTCGTCAACTATGATAAGGCATTTAAAGGAACAATGAAGATAATAATAACATGAAAATTTAATTTTTTTCATATGCAGTGCATCTAGATTGTCCTACTAGAATTTTCCAACTATTCACCTAATATTACATTTTTGCAAACTCTTCACCAATTACATTCCAAAGATTTGAGATGAATGAGTAAATTATTAATTGATTACCCGCATGGAAGTATTGTCGTAGATAATTTCCGCTTTCTGATATAATGCCGCTAAAAATATTGTAACTCAATTCCATCACCCGTTTTGTTTTGGTGTTTCTTATTTTCTAATGTAACTTGTGTTGAATTTTTATCGGGAAAATGAGTGTCTTGGGCTGAAGGAATGTAGCAGGCCGAGGTCCAAAGAGTTCATCTATAGATAAATTGGCTATTAATCTAAAGATGAAGTTGAATAATCTAAATGGACAATGAAGAGAAATCATAAGTAGGGCAACATGGGGCAGCGCGCCCCCCACTTTTTTTAAACTAAATTTTTGATAAAGTTTTAATTGATACGAGGTGGTTCTTTGTTTTGTTTAAAGGTACAACTAATGAGGAATGTATGATGTGGATTCGACGCCTATAGAGTTATTCAATTTTTAATGAAACACTATTTTGTAAAAAGTGTCAAAATGGGCCCATTGCCCCACCCCTGAGGCAATGGGCCCATGGCCTTGGGACAAGGCGCCCACCCTTGGTCCTTTTACCACAATTGCATATTTTTTGTTTAAAAATGATAGAATAACACTTTACAGTTTAAAATAAGAAAAATGTGATAAAAAATTATGACATTTATTCATTTATTAACAACTTAAAAAATCGTATCCTTAACTTGAAAAAATATACTCTTGCCTTAAAAAATCTACCACTGACGTGAAGAAAAATATTTCATTGACATAAAAATATATATCCTTGACTTGAAAAATATATCCTTGCGATAAAAAATTCGTCCTTGACATGAAAAAATGTATCCTTGACTAGAAAAAATATATTTAGTTGATCAGAAAAAAACTTCGTTCCAGTTTCGTCCATAATCCAGATATTATGTGCAGAGAATTCGTACCTAATCGTGATTTCAGCCAACACCATAAAAACTCATAAACTTTTGGCTCATTGGTGTTGACTGAAATTAACTTTTGGCAAGGCAAGAGTCAATAACTCGATTAGGGGTCATAAATACGCATAACTGGAAAATAAACCTGCTGCATTGAGGTGGTAAATCAAAAAATTATACAATATGAAGTGTAATTTGTAATTCAGAAAGCTAATCATAATTTTGAAAAGGTCATTGAGACAAATCTAATGATGTATAACACAAGACTTCACCATGGGCGCTTTGCCCCGAGACACGCGTGGGCCCGTTGCCCCACTAGGTTTCATTTCAATTTATATCGTGTCAACATTTTATTTTAAAAGCTAATAGTCTAAACTTGATCTCAAAATTATCCCTATAAATATTACTTTCAAAATATAATTCACAGTAATTTCAAAAGCTTCATCTAAAGTAATCGAAAAAAATTTTATTTATCAGCAAAAAAAAATTTATCTGGGCTAAAACAGTTATTCACAAATAACTTAATAACGCAAACACTTAGCAAAACGTAAATCCGTACACTCCATCCCAATGAAACTGTCGACCGGCGGTATAGAATACGGACCTATATCTGCCATACTTAGCGAGATACCCGCTATGGGCCCATGACCCGCAGTGGGCTCGCTGCCCCATGTTACCCTATCAGTCAAATAAGTTGTCGATTTATGTGTACAAATGACATAAATTAGCAGAACATAGATGAGCCGAATTTTCTCATATATATCACATGATTCGATATAATTATTATTACATCTATTTATTTATCATATTAGTGCTCAATATATTCACAATGAGTGGTGACGGCGAATTGTAGAATATTTTCTTAGAATCATGGATGATGATTTTTAAAATGCATCGGTACAACGAAATTTATTATGCGAAATTTGAACATTAGAGCACACGTGGGTATAAATAATGCTCTACCCCAAACGGAAAAAATCTGAGTAGAAATTATCAATATATAAAATCGTAAATGAAAAACTTTCATTTAAGGGAACACGAGAGGATTGAATGATTTGCATCAAAGATACTGTAATCTGTGTTTGGGATTCTGTAGAGTTTGAGGATAAACCCGATTACCTGATCACTTCTAAATATCCAGAAATGTTTGGCAAATTCAATGCGATGAGAGCATGAATGTAGAATTTCACCAGTTGCTCGTTAATATTTTTTGCGTGACAGTCTTTTTAGATGGCTTGAGTTAATTGACTGATTAATTGGGAAAAATACTTATAATGTTAACCAGGTTAGATTTGCAGATTTCCTGTGACAGGAAATACTGAAAATCACCGAGGATAATTAAAGATGAGCGAGCATTTTCGCAGGTGAGGATCGAAGCAGCTCACAATAATTACAATAATTAGATCATCCGCAGCATTAAGTGGCAAATCATGCATTTAAAATTTTAATCTTTAAAGTCTCAGTACGCCACCTAAATGTTTTCAAATACTGCGAGGAACCAATAATTGTTGTTACTATTAATAATTAACTATTATTGATTATTAATTACATACATTGCTCGAGTGAAAATTTTTATCACCCTTTCATCCAGAACTGAATGTCGAAAAACATAATCGTTTCGAAAATATTTATTTATTATATCAATTGCGCTGCAAATATTGTTCTAAATTTTTCACCTCATTCAACGATTAGATTTTCAACCGATTCATCGGGTATTTATTTTTTTCATTGATTCATATATATATAGGACAAGACTGAATAAGTAAATTATTGATTGATCGTACTGGTGGACCAAGGAACCACCTAATGGAAGCTCACAACGATACCATCACTCGTACGGTGCTGGAAGAATGCACCAGCGTCGTCATGCGATGCCCCGACGCCAACCGACTCGCGATAGCAGTCAATCATCCATAATAATATCAAGAGCACAAAGGATAACGAAAATATAAAACTTCTGATCT